ATCTGATAGGTATCCATAATCTGCATATTTGACTAAATGTGGACCATTGTTGATTGCTTTGAGTATAACAAGCCCAAATATGTAGTTCCATGAAGGTAAAGTAAGATATGTTTTATTCCATTCCAATGTCGTCGAGTTGCTGCAAAACTAAATCTTGCCAACAAGTTGATTGCAAATACTATATAAGACATTGTACATTGTGCTAAGTATAACAAAACATCAATTGTACTTAGGTATGGTACTTCTGGTCCAAGAAGCGTTTCATTTTCCTTTTTCGGATGAAAGAAATCCTTATTGACATCATGGGATTGGACGACCATTGGAGTACTCAACAGATATGCTTTATCCATCTTAAATTGCTTCAGGACCTTTTTTGTATATTTTATTTGATGGACAAGAAATTTGTTTAATGTATGCTTGATCTGCGAGCTGAGGTAGGACTTTGTTTTTTCGACATATTTCATCTTAAGTTCTTTTTTCAAATATTCAGCAGCTTTTATTGACTCTTTGGGAGTTCCAACCAGATTCATATCGTCAACATATACTACAATGATGACAAATTCATATTCTAATTTTTGTAATATACAATTATGGAATTATGAGATTGTTAACACACCCTTCCTTTACCAAGTACTCACTGAGATAGTTATGCCAAATTCTCCCAGATTGTTTCAATCCATACAAGGATCATCTTAACTTAATTGAGTACATTGTCTTGGTTTTGATGTATTTGCTTCGGACAATTGCAATCTTTTAAGGACTTTCATATAAATATCGATATCTAACTCTCCATAAAAATATGCAGTAACAACGTCCATAAGATGCATGTCGAGTTGTTATGAGAATGCTTGACTAATAAGTTACTGAGATGTAATTGCATCTATTACTAGTGAATATTTTTGGTAATTGCGTCTATTATTGGTGAATATTTTTGGAAATTGCATCTATTATTGGTGAATATTTTTGATAATTGCATCTATTACTGGTGAATATATTTCTTGATAAAAAACTTCGCATCTCTACAGGAACCCTTGCGCTACTAGACGTACTCTATGTTGCATATTTACTTTTTATTTTTATATTAATACCCACTTATATCCAACAGACTTTACACCTTAAATTGTTGGACTACGGGTCTAATTTAACACCTTTCGATGTTTTAGAACTACAAGTCTATATTTTCATCTTTAGGTATATTGGACTAAGGGTCCAAATATATCAAAAGTTTCTTTCTACTTTGGTCAATTATTTCTACATCAATATTGTTAGATCATATTTTTAATTGACTAATTTTATGAATTTCATTGTAAAATCTCAACATATTTCATGGTCATGATGCTATCAATTTTAAGATTCAAAAACGTCATTGAAGGGAGTAGATCAAGCGTCAAAGCTCCATCATTCAACCTCCGTATACATCTTCATGCTTAGAACAAATGTAATGACCTAGACACCTAAGATGAACCCTTTGTTAATTTAACTTAGGTTGATTATAATGAAAATGGAATTGGAAGTGATCCAATTATGACTCTTAGGTTATTTTAAAAGAAAAGTTGTTTCTAAACCATTTGTATGTTTTGAAAACATAGTTTGAGTCAAAATTGAACTCCTCTTTGAGCAACAACAGGAGCCCTTCTTTTTTTTTTTTTTAAGGAAAAATAACTTTTGTGTGGTCTTTTATTTAACTACCTGAACAACAGTTTGACAGGTCACTCAACGTTAACACCCTCCTCCATGCTCCACTCTTTATTTGAATGGTGGTTTTCGCTTCCTTACCCATACCATAGACAAAAAATCTATAGGGACTGATCTATGCTCACTAGCCTTCGCTAGTGAAAATTCTTAATGACTTAGCGAAGAAAATAGGAAAAAGCCACGCAAAGCAGCACAGGGTTTGCTCTATAAGCTCGCTCAAGCTGTCTCATGGTCACTCAAGTGGTTCCTATAGTTGCTCGAGCGGTGCTTGCCTTAGTCATGTTTGCAACGTTATTTTCACTCCAAGGACAATCATCCAATGACCTTCCTCCCACCGATCGAGTGGTTGTTCATGAATCTTACTAAGACTACCCTTTTTTTGGACCTATAAATAGGGAGAGCCTTTCCCACATCTAGGTTAATCCTCTTGAACCTCTAGAGAGATTTAAAAGAGAGAAATTCATTTATCTACCTTGAAGCTTCCACCACAACCTAGATTTCTTAGATCCAAAGGCTACCGCTAGTGGTTCTACCCAACCACACAAATAGGTGTTAAAGATCTTGTTGGTTGAACAATCTATTGGAGTGTGCATACTGAGGATTGTGGGTGTGCCCATAATCGCTCGAGGCCGAGATGAATTGTGCGACGGGGAGGTCTAAGTGAAGATACACCAGATATTGGAGAGGAAGTTTGGCGGAGGAAAGCAAGGAAATGAGCATCTAACCATGGTATTGGTTGAGGTATAACTCTCGAGTACTTGTATGTTGACTTGGAGAGTAGTAGATTAGGCTTTAGTGAAGCCCAAGTGCTTCCCTATAGTTTTTTCAAGTAGGATTTTTTATGTCAACTACTTTCTTGTTTTTCTTATTAATTATTGTACACACTTGCATTTGTTAGCACACACGCACACTATGTATTTGTTGTATTGATTGATTGACATTCATTCAACCATAGTTGTGCAATTGGGTTTAGGATTTGGGATCGATGTGAAATTGATTGTGAGTGAATTAATTTAATCAATCATCATATGTGTTAAGGGTTATGGTGACTAAAGGTGTTCTCATCTTAAAATTCATCATTTGATTGAGAAGATGTAATTGTAGTGGATATAGGTTTTAATTAATAACTGATTTGGGCTAAAATAAAAAAACCTATTCATCCCCCTCTAGGTATAGTTTCTTGATCTGCACGTGTATAATCGTAAGGGAAGATCTACATTAGGTTCTCCCACCTGGAATAACAATTGGTATCAGAGCGTAGTTGTCCTGAGATTGTAAGACACTAAATAGGCATATCTTGTTTTTTACTTGCTTGTCTAGTTTACTTCAAGAGATCTATCATTACTCCAAGTTAAATTTGAATGGAGTCTCAAAAGGAAGAAGGATCAATTGTAGGACCGCAATGGATGAATTAAAATCCCCAACGACTTGGCCGAAGACCTAGATTTAATCAATGGGGTTTAAAAACCAATTGGTGTGTACATATTAAAGATTGTTGGCATGCCCATAATCGCTTGAGGCCTAGATGAACCGTGCGGCATGGAGGTCCAAGTGAAGCTACACCAGAGAGACATAGCAAAGATAGGAGAATCTAACTATAATATTGGTTTAGGTATAAGCCTAGAGTACTTGTATGCTGGCTTGGAGAGTAGTATATTAGGCTTTGTTGAACCCCGAGTGACTCCCTGTGGTTTCTCTTGAGGGTTTTTTGCGTCAACAAATTGCTAGTGTTCTTTATTCTCTATTGTATACACTTGTGATTTGTTAGCACACACGCGCACTGTGTTTGTTGTATTAATTGATTGACATTCATTCAACCATAGTTGTGCAATGGAGTTTGGGATTTGGGATAGTAGTGAGATTGATTGAGAGTGAATTAATTGTATATTAATTGAAATCAATTGTCATGGGTAAAGGTGGTTGTGATGACTAAAGTGGTTCTAATCGTTTAATTTTGCATTTGATTTAGAAGAGGTAATTGTAGTTGATATATGTTTTAATTGATAATTGGTTTAGGCTAAAATTGAAAACCCTATTCACCCCCTTTAGGTATAGTGTCTTGGTCTCCACATGTATGATTGTTATAGGTCATCATTGGATTGATATTTTAGGAAATAAGATAAGAATATGTTGGGTGACCTGATTTTGCACCACGCTTGTTGCATGTTGTCATTGGGTTGACATTTGTGACAAAAAGGGGAGATTATTTTAGGTATATATGGGCAAAATCAGGGAGATTTACTCTTGACTAGTCTTGATATGTTGCATGCAAACATAGAAAGGTTTTTTTTTTCAAATACTCAGGGGGAGTAAAATTTGCAAACTTGGCACTAAGTCACAAATTTTTCTTTGTTTAATGGAGTCACAAAAGGAAGAAGGATCGATTGTATTATTGCCTCTCTTTGATTGTTATAACTTTGCTTATTGGAAAGCTCACATGAGAGCTTTTTAAAATCAATTGATGAAAGAGTACGATTAACTGTGTATGAGGGTTGGAGCCCTCTTATCGCCGCCATGCAAGTTAAAGATGGTGAAACAGTGGTTGAATTGAAATCCCCAATGACTTGGTTGAAGATCTAGATCGAATCGGCAGGGTGGAACTCGAAAGGCTTGAATGGTATATTCAATGCCGTGACACCCAATGAGTTATGAAGGATTGCAAATTGCAAGACTTTAAAGGAGAAATGGGATATTCTTTGGGTTTCACACCAAGGAACTACAATGGTCAAGATGTCTTATCTTCAAAGATACACCTCACAATTTGAGATGTTGAGGATGCAAAAAGAAGAAGCCTTTGGCGAATTTTATGCCAAATTATGTGGCATTAAATTCTTAAATTGAGGAAGGGGTAAATCCAAGTCACCCCAGTTAGGAGAAGAGACATAGCCTATCTTGCAAGAAAATTCAACAAATATTTCAAGGATAGTGGTGTTAGGTCCTCAAGGTCGAAAGGAAATGTACGTAGACCTAAGTCTCCTAGAAAAAGAAAACAAAATGGGAGTAGAATTTCTCGACAGGAGGTTGAAAAGAAAGGGCAAGGTCTCCAATGCTATTAATGTCATGATTTTGGACATGTAGCTACGGAATGTCCTAGTGTCAAAAAAAAGCACATGCCAAAGGAGAAGAGAAATGCTTTAAACACTAACGTGAATGAAAGTAAAAGTGATTCCACAATAAGTGTTGACTCCTCTTCGTCAAGTGATGAAGAAAACTTCACAACCTTTGTAGGCTCACTCTCCTCTCCCCATGAGAAACTTCCAAGAATGTGGAAAAGGAAGTTGAGTCTAGTCCGACTACGAATGTAGATGACTTAGTTATAGAAGTCTCTACTAGTGAGGATGAGACCGAATGTATTGAGGACCTGCAAGATGCATATAATGAGTTCTATAAGGAGTGTCCAAAACAAGGAGAAAAATTGCTTTCATTGAGCATGAGGCTCAAAACGAGTGAAGATGAAAATAAAACACTTCATGTGCACTTAGTTATGTTCAAGGCTTATGTTGTTGGGCTTGAGGAGGAGAAGAAGTTCCTCCTTGACAAGTTGAGCTTCCTTGAATGAGAGCACTAAAGGGCTTTTAGTGTCTAAGAAGGGTCTAGAGTTTAAACTTATCAAACTTGATAGAGACCTAAATGAATCACATGAGTTCTTGAAAATACTTTCCCACAACACGAAAAAGCTTGATAAAATGTTGTCTATAGGGAAAAATGTTGGTGACAAGAGAGGATTAGGATTCACTAATGAACACAACACCTCCAAAAATATTTGAAATTTGAAAAATCAAAAACACAAGAAATTAAAAAATCCAAAAAGTTTTGACATCCCTTGTCACATCTATTTTTAGGATTTATGATCAAATTCTTTATTTATTTTTCTTTTGTTTGTTTTGTTTGTTTGATGATCATGGTAATTCACACTTTGATTTGCTTTGAAATTGTTCAATCTTAAAGTCAAAGTTGAAATGTGCATTGGTATGAATCATATTAGGGGATAGAGAACTTAGTGGCATAAATCCAATTGCATGATTTATTAATCAAAGTCTATTTCATCCTTGCGTGCTTTGGTGGTGTTTACCTTTGAAAGATTCAACACCAAGTACATGAATGACATTCACCTTCCCACTTAGGATTTTGATGAGTTTAAATTATTAGTGACCTTAAAAGGACTCTAAGTATTGGTGATAGGTAAACACATGGCTGAAGGTTAGTTAAACCCCAATCCTTTAAAAGATGCCAAAGACCAATTGTGTGAAAAGATCCCAATGTGGCCAAATCTAAAAAAAAGGTGAGGCATAAATAAATGACTAAAAACAATCTCACTTGAATTATGAGAGTAATTATACTTAAGTGTTAATTGCTCATTTGTAAAGCTCATAGTGCTCATATTAATCATGTCTACAAGCATATATTAAAAGTATGGAATTCACAATTGTGTTGATTGAAGCCATATGATGGATAAAATAAATAGGGAGTTTTCAAAAATAGAATCTTTAGGACACTCACTAACCGGGCATGTTTTCACTTAGATAATGCATTAGGATTTAATGATGAGCTTATTAATAATTTAAATCTTATCGGAATCTTTTTTGTGTTGGTGGTTGGTTTCACACACTATGCACTTGAATTTGTCAAAGCTGAACAAAACTTAATCACGTGTGTGTGATATTGAACTAAGTGAGGAAACATTGCTCTAGGATACATGAAATTGAATTTTATATCCTTGAATATGTCGTAGAGTAATATATTGGGATGATGAATTTTGTATGGAGCTTTTAAAATGCAAATGTGTGATTTTCATGATTAAATTTTTTTTGATTTGAAATGTTTTAGACTTGAACTGCCATTATGAACGCATATTGGGGCTTGAAGGATAAGTGGATGAGTGAAAGGTTGAGTGGTGTGGAGCAATATGCTTTTCTTTAAAAAATGATTTGTCTTTCAGAATGATTTAATTGTGTATCTTAAATTATGCTTGCATCTCTGAAATATTTGTTATATGTTTCCAACATAGAAAGTGTATGCAGTATAGTAACTCAAAAATTCTGAGGTCATCTCGTCAGGGACAAATGGCAATCTGAATGGTGATGTGTTTGCAAAGAAAAATAAAAATCCTTTAGTTTTGTGGAAAAATGGTGAAAGTGACAACTAATGTAGTAAATTCAAACGGAAAACAATCGATCAATCCTCGACAATCATCTCCTCATAATCAATCTTATTAATTCTCATGTATAAATCATCCAAGCTTATAAATAAATTCACTTGGACGGAAAATATTCAACTAAAATTAGTTTTGAACAATAGATTATTTTGAAGATAGGTAATGAAAACAAGAATGATAAATACTTAGTTGTATATATGAGGGTGGTGGTTGCTTTTGTAAAATCCAGAAAATTTGAACTTTTTATGAAAAAGGGTAAAACGGTAATTTTTCACTTTGGTGTGAGTTGAAAATCCTTATTTCTCTAGAGCTCGGATGATAAAATAGACAATTTTTGTTGAATTCTGAGATAGTTTAATTTTTCACGTTTTTCGAGAAGACGAATGACCTCAAAAACGCCCCCAAAATAAAATTTCTGAAATTTTATTATAATTTAAAGAAAGTTCATATAAAATATATTGAACTTAAATCGAGACAAAATTTAATCGTTTCGAGGCGAAAATAAACTCGGGAATAGGGAACGCGTGGCAGGACGTGGACCAAGCGTTAAAGTGTATAAATAGGAAAAAAAAATCTGATTTTTAGACAAAATTCTCTGCTAATTCCAGTGGGTTCACGTTGGAAGAGAGGAAGAGGGGGAAAGGAAGAAAAGAGAGATTCAAGGCTTCTCTCTCCGATCTACAGGGTTCTGTTGGTCGGAATTTTTCGGGCTAAGAGTTAAAGTCGATTTACGCGACAAAGGCTACGACTGCATACCAAAAAGGAAGGATTTCACCAAAGTTTCAAAAACAAGATTTTGAGGAAATCTTGGATTAGAGCTCGAGTTGTGTTTTTGTAGCCTTCTACGGTTGTATTACACTTCAAGAGGTAAGGTTGTTATCCTAACTAGGTTTATTTCCAACCTAGGATGAATATATGAAATGGGTGGGCTATTATGGTTATTTTACATTTGTCTATTGTATTTGGTTTAATAAAAATGGGTAAACTCAATTCTAGTATGAATTGGTAATAAGAAATTGCTAGTTTGTGATTTCTTGGAAGTTTTGATAATGGGTATGTGGAAATCACTTAATTTGATTTTTTTTTGAGTTATGTGATGAATTTGGACATTTTTGTTTGATTACATGATTTGGTGCCTTGAAGGCGTTTGATAAAATATTTATGTGAAATAATGTGTGTTAATTGCATAAGATTATGTGATAATATGCTTGGGGAAAATTGTTGTTAAATGCAAATGTTGATACATGCTCATTATATATTGATATGATGAAGATTTATGAAAATTATACGCTTTGGATATAATTGGCCATGTTATGTGTTGAAATGGGGTTGAGATTATTCATATGACATTCATAGCATTTTGGACAAAATATTGAATTTGCAATTGTACATTACATTTTATATAGACGGAGACATCGCATTCTTGGGCGTTGACATGAGTGTGGGGTGTGGGTGCATGGCTTGATCAAACACCATTTTGGGTGAATGATTCATGGGCTTAGGATAGTTGGGCTAAGGTTCTTTTGAGTCACATGGTTTGCATTGAAAATAGTGTCGGAGTTAGTAAGAAGGGCTAGAAAATTCCTCGGGTGCAAGATCCGGTGATTGGGATACACACTCCCTTGGTTCAGCCCATAAAGTGTGTGGGTGTATGCGGAACCCTTGGTGGAAGTCCATGAATTCTGTGTGGATTGGGTGACTCTTGGTGTGAGTCCATGAATACCCACTCCAAGAAAGATCCGAGATTTATAATGGTCATTTGATGTGCAACAAAAATGACAGATTCATACACATTGGCATGACACGTGTTATGGGAGTCGGTGAATAGCTCGAATTGAAATGCATGAGTGAGTCTCATCTTTTTTCATGGCATAACATGGTGATTTCTAACATTGAATTGCATATTCTTGATTGGAATGGTTGTTGCTTGTTGAATGTTACATGTGGACATTTCATATGCACTTGGGTTGGGGAATGACCTCTTTAAGAGATACCCTATTGAGCGTGGCTCACCCTTTATGGAAAAATATTTCAGGTGTGGGTTATACACCTGTGGATGACTCGTACTTGGGGCCTCATGGATGAAGAAAAGCCAACTTGTGACTTTTAATTCACGTTTTGTAAAACTATTGTGAAAAACTATGCTTTTGTAAAACATTCACTAAGTTAGTTTTTGAGCATATAATGTATGTAAAAGAATTGTAATCGAACTCATACGGACTATTTTTAATGTAACATTGCATGTTATTATATGAGTATGGATAAATGGACCCAGTTTGGTCAATGTTTACTCATAAATGGATCCGATGTGGTCAATGTTTACTCATAAATAAACTCGGTGTGGTCAATGTTGTATGATTGCATAAGTTGTGTTTTTAGTAGGGGTCCTTGTATAATGGAGACTCTACCCAAATTTTGCTAAATTATGGATCTCGATAAATGGGGCATAACGGCGTGATATCGAGTTACTCGGTATCTATAGGCATTCCATAGGTGAATGGGTGATCAACAGGTTGACAAAGGACCCCCAGTTTTAGGGGCGTCACAGCTTTGCCAAAGAAGCTTCCTCCGTTGATGTTGTCCAATAGGACTGCTCAAGAAGAACCTTGGAGGTGCTATCATCTGATCACAAGCAAGCTATTGGGATTGGTAGCCTCCCGCTTGAGTGTCAGAGTGAAAAAAGTGTGCCTATACGAACAAGTGATAGTTCGGACTTGTGCGATGTAGTTGTGCATGTAGATGAATCGGTACAAAGGATTGAAGAACAGGTATAACACATCTCTGATCAACTTTCGCAAAAATTCGGTACAACATTTCTCAACATACTACCCAACTTAAGCTTTGCTACTCCCTAGCAAACCAATCATAGAAAAGCATTCAACCATTCATTCATCAATCCTGCACACAATTAAACTAACCATACATAACCAACACAACCCATACATAACAAACACTTAACAAAGATTTTAAAACACACAATGAAATCAAATGATACTAATATAAACATCAAATGTTAGTGGGTACAAAAGATCAAAATGTAATAGCCTTAGGACAAAAACTAAGGGTTTTCTATCCTAAGCTATTACAATCCCCATTAGAAATCTTCCTAAAAATAACAAAACCAAGGCTCCTCTGATCTTGACTTAGCATCATCACCCTCCTTATCCTTGCTGCTCCCTATCTCCTAGACAGTATCCCTTAGTTCAAAAACAAAAACAGGAGGTGGATCTGATATGGCAGAGGGTGCAGCAGGTGGTAGTAGTAGCTAATGTGGAGGGTGGAAAGACTCCTAATAGTATCTCACTAGGGGTAAGAATCTCAAACAATTGGCACTGTATCCCCAGAGAAAACTCCAAGTCCTTAGCTATCCTATCCTGTATCTACCTCATACCAAAATTGTCAGACTCTAGACCTCCCATTCTCTCCTCTAGCCAGGCCACTCTCTATGGAATAGTGGCTCTAGAGGTCGGTGGAGGATAGGTTGCCGCAACAGTCAATGATGTGGACTTATTTGAAGACCTTTCCACTCTTGGGGCTCTTGACATAGTGGAATTCTTCCTCTCCTCCTAACTATTGATAGACCCTTTCTCTGGAGGACTCATCTGATCTGCCTGAGTCTTTCGTACACCATCCTTTTCACACATCACTGTAACCATGCGTACAAAAGGTAGGTTCTCCTTTAGGCTAACTGCAAACACGTACTCCTTCATCATTTTCCAAATGAATAAAGCAATATCAATCCTTGAACCCACCATAAAATCATGTAGTAAAATGATCTTAGGTAGACTAGGCTTCTTCTCATTTCCATTGAGGTACACATTGTAGTGCAAGATCTTATTCATCGTTCTATAGTCCGCAATCATGTACCCTTGAACAAACTCTCCATCAAAATGACTAAATTCATCATACTTATTCTTTACATATTCACTCAGACTCTTAGTAGAAAACTTTGGATGAGGGTAGTCTACATCCTTGGGATGAATTCTCACATATCACAAGTTTGGGGTGATGCTATTAGTTGTAGCCTCAATAATATGTCCTCAGACCGTAGTCCTCTGTATCATCCCTAAGTACTTACTAAAATCATGCCACTATAAAACTCACTGCAATGTACCCTGTCATTGACTTGAAGAAGAAATCCAATCCATGCCCCATGATCTGCCACATCAGAACACTCTTACCTAAACTGTTTCTGTCAACCATTCTCTCACGTGTAGTTCCCCTTGTAGCAATGGTAGACTCATATATCACTCTACGCCACTTCCTTGCCTCAGGCTCCACCTCATTGCCACCCTCAATAACCTTTGCCTTCCCTTTCTCCTGCCTAGTAGCTCTAGGCCTTGAAGCCGACGCCGAAGACCCATGGGTCTTGACCATGCCTACCAAAAGTATACCCATCACAATGGAAAAGCTAAACAATAACAAAAACAAAGATAGAGCATCCTAGGTAGTAGATTCAAAAGACATTCTTGACGCTATCATTAGAACACCTAGGGTTTGGGGTTTTGGGTAAAGTAGAGATGGAAATGGGTGGATGAATTTGAGGGAATGACTTGAGGATTAAGGTGTGGGGGTGGTGGTTTTTTTGGAAGCTTGGGGAGAGTTTGAGAGAGTGAGTGTTTGATTTTTGAAGATAAGTGAGTGAAAAACCATCAGTCTCCTTTTTTAAAAGACTGAAAAAGTCAAACCTTGATAAACCAGTACAAAGATTTTTGCGCCAGTACATCTCTCTCTTTCCCTTTGATGAACTGGTACAATAGGGTATTTTCTGATTTTTCAATTTTTTTCAATTTTTAAACTATCCTAATGCTTCCTAATCCTATTTACATGCCTAAGACACCTACTTACTCAATGACATAAAACATGTTAATTAAAACACACAAAACATGCAACAAAACTACCAAATTCCTAGGATTCAAAGTGAACTTCAACTAAACACAGAACAAACCTAAGACCACTTTTGTAGGGTACATGATTGGATTTAGCAAATGTAACAAGTCTTTAAACTCTTAGGTCACCCCTAACAGATGGGTGGTGCCTCGTGAAGGTTTCTAGTGAAGGTACCTACAAACTTCTTTTTATTACAGAATAATACTTAGAACATATTATTATATCTTAATTAACAAGGACACTTTAGAAAAATTCCCTATCCACTCAAGGTATGTACAAAAGATTTATACCATAGATTTAAAAGCTATCTAAAAGTATTCACATACACATTTCCATTAGAGACTCGTGTCTGTATGAAATGATAGTGCAATTTAAAAAATTTATCAAATAAAACCCACACTTTATTAGCTTTGATGCAAATCTCACAGAATTTTATCTCAGAACAAAAGACCCTCTGATTATAGTTACGTTTCAATCATTGTCTATATGTGAGACATATTCTTATAGTTCAATACTAGCTCACATATAATTTAGAAATGACGAACATTTATGCAAATGAAATGACCTTGGCATAATCTCATGAAAGAACACTAGGACAAGTGAAAATAGTACAGTTGACCAACCTCTAACATGATTTAGTATGCACTTGCCACCATTATTAAGATCAAATAGGACTTTATTCGGTTGTAACGTGGCCTTAGGCGAAAGTTAAAGAAATGAAGGGTTATAGGAATTCAAAAGAAGTTGTCCCAAGAATATGACTTTTCTACCACATCTCCTCATTTAGAAATCAATTAGCTCACCTCATTAATTTCTCTTGCTTTCCTTTTTTCATTGCCTTTTCATACAATTTATTCTTTTCTTCTTTCTTTTTTTTCCTCTCACTTCTTTTTTTTTTTTTTTCCTTTTTCTTTTGGATGTCAACAATAAGCTCAAATAGTCTTCATCCTCCTTTCTTTCACCTTTTTTTTTTTTCACCTTTTTTTCTAACCACCATTCCATTTTCACATTGTAAACAAAAATCAGTCCTGAAATAGCCAAGGTAGATAAACACAATTATGCTTGGCTTAATAAAGCATGTGGCTAAGAAATGAGATTTTCAATAAGGCTCAATCATGGCTACTACGAATGATGTTGCGAAAGAATATGCTAAGGCTCAAATTAATTTAAAGATGACCTAAGATCATTTCTCAAAACTGTATGGCAAGGTACTCTTTTGCATTGAGATATAATCAACTAACTAGCACCTTTACACTATGCAAAACAAAAATATTAAGATTATTCAAAGAGATTGAATTTGAAAGAATAGTCTTTTGAGTAAATGTATTATAAGCCTCCAACAAAGAATGAAACAAAAACTCATAAGGGTAATACATTCATCTCCACTATAGATGTCAAGCCTTTTAAAATGTGAATCTCATTCAATAAATTGCAAAAATTAGCATGCTTATGGTGCACATAGGTTGAGTTTAACATGAAAACATGTACATGATTCTTAAACATAGAATAAACTCCTATAATGTGTTAATATGCATATAACTCAAGATTCAAGTAGAATAATTAAAAATCTCATGCTAATTAAGAAAGGATATTTAAAAGTCCAAATTAGATACTTTATTTTTTTTTTCAAAATTTTTCAAATTTTCTCATTTTACAATATGAACATGGTGGTGTAACATAATAATGGTGCATCCCTTACCCCCCAACTTAAATCATGCATTATTCTCAATGCAAAAACAATCAAGCAATGAGAAAAATGAAGATAATAAGGTGAGAAAACACTTAGCATTTGCTTTCCAAATAGAAAAACCACTAGCTTCAAAATAACAAAAGAAACTATACAAAAAGAAATAAGAACAATAAAATAAACTTTACACAAAATGAAAATAAGTAACTACCCTAAACTAACAATTGAAACAAAAAGAACTTCTCAGAAGCAAGATCTTGATACATAGGATCAACTAAGTCCTCAATAACCTCCTCAGATGAGAAATCCTTCAAGAATGGCTCAAGTCTCTATCCATTAACTTTGAAAGTCTGTCCATTTTTAGGGTTTTCTTCCTCCATAGGCTAGTCAGGATAAACAACTCAGACTACATAAGGGTCAGTCCAATGGGAACGCAATTTCCCTTGACAAAGGTGAAGACAAGAGTTGTACCAAAGCACTCTCTAATTTGGCTTGAAGGTCTTTCTCAATCTGGAATTATCATGAAAAAATTTTACCTTTTATTTATAGATTGGAGTAACCTCATATTTCCTCCAATTCATTGAGCTGCAACTTCTTGTGCTCACCGGCTGGGTCCAAACTAAAATTCAACGACTTAATGGCCCAATAAGCTCGTTGGTCCATCTCTATTGGTAAATAATAGGCCTTGTCATAGACTAATCAGTAGGGATACATACCTAAGTGTGTCTTAAATGCTATACAGTATGCCCACAAAGAATCGGTCAATCGAAGTGACCAATCCTTATAGTTAGGATTAACCATTTTTTCTAGTATGTGCTTAATCTCCCTATTAGCCAACTCAGCTTGACCATTGGTCTGTGGATGATAGGCAGTGGAAAGTCTATTTGTGATACCATATTTGTGCATTAAAATCCCAAATGGTCATTTACAAAAGTGTTAACTATCATCACTAATGATTATCTTGGGCATTCCAACCTAGAAAAATTGTTTTCCTTAAGAAATTTAATGTCAACCTTATGATCATTTGTCTTAGTTGTTATTGCCTCTACCCATTTAAAAACATTGTCAACTGCCAGTAAAATGTTAAGATAACCAAAAGACAAGGGAAAATGACCATGAAATTGATGCCCCAACAATCAAAAATCTCAATGACAAGAATGGGGTTAATAGGCATTATATTTTGACGGGTAACACTACCTAACCTCTGGGTTCAACCTTTGACTTGTCTATAAATTAGAAATTAGTTCAAACTTTGATTTGTCGATTGCTATCCCCTTTGCAGAAACAATATGACCCAAACCAGTACCTTGAGCTACCATGAAATTGTATTTTTCCCAGTTAAGCACTAAAGTCTTTTCCTCACACCTCACCAATACTTTCTCCAAATTTTTTAAATAGCAATCAAATGAATCACCAAACACTGAAAAATCATCCATAAACATTCCACTATTTTCTCCACCATGTCATTGAAAACACTTATCATGCACCATTGGAACGATCCTGGGGCATTGCATAGTCCAAATGACATACGTCGATAAGCAAATGTCCCAAAAGGGCAAGTGAAAATGGTCTTTTCTTGATCCTCCAAAGTGATCTCAATCTGATTATATCATGAATATTCATCCAGAACGCAATAGCACAAGTGACCTGCCACCCTTTCCAATACTTGATAATAAAAAGAAGTGAAAGTGATCCTTGCGACTGCAGGAATTGAGCTTCCTATAGTCAATGCAAACTCTTCACCTGGTCACCACTCGAGTTAGAATTAGCTCCGTGTTCTCATTGGCCACTACAATGACTCTTGACTTCTTTGGCACCACCTACATAGGTCTCACCCACTTGCTGTTAGCAATAGGGTAGATGATACCTATATCAAGTAGCTTTAGAATCTTGGCTTGAACCACATCCTTAATTATGGGATTCAATCATCCATTGTCGGGATGGTTTGACATCATTCTCAAGATATATCTGATGAGTGAAAATAAGGGGGTTGATTCCCTTGATGTCTGCTATAGTCCAGCCAATAGCTCTTTTCTGTGCTCTCAAGATAGTCAATAATTTTTCATCTTGCTCTAGGTTTAATGTTGAACTAACCACTACAGGAAATGTGTCACCATTCCCTAAGAATGCATACTTCAATGTGGATGGTAGTGGTTTTAACTCCAAATTCGGTGGCTAAATAGTGGATGACAAAATTTTCTTCTTAATCAATGATAACTTTTTTAACTTAGGCAACCAAGTGCCTACTTCACGATTAGTTTCCAAATTTGGCCTTTCTCTTGAATTAATTTCCTCAAAATCATCCTCACCCAAATGTTCTACATGTTGCTCTATGACTGTATCAATTAGATTAACTTCATGTATTTCCCCATCAACCCCTGGCTGTTTGTTGATGTTGAAGACATTCAATTCCAACATCATATTGCCAAATGCAAGCTTCAAGACACTATTCTAGCAGTTTATAATAGCATTAGAGATTGCAAGAAAATGTCGTCCTAAAATAATTGAAATTTAAGTAGCGGGGTTAGCAATAAGATGTGCATTAAGGACAATAAAATCAAAAGGAAAATAGAATATATCCACTTGGATTAGTACATCATCTACTATTACTTTCAACAATTTTACACTACGATCTATCAGTTAGAGAGTAATTGAGGTTGGGTTTAACTCTCCTAACCCTAATTACTGGTATACTAAATAAGGCATGAGGTTGATACTTACACTAAAGTCCAACAATGCTGACTCCACGTGGCAATCCCTGAAATTATGAAAATGGTAAGATATCCTAGATCCTTGAACCTCAATGGAGTGTTGATCCATAGGATAAAACTTACCTGCTATGTTAGAAAGCATTTATTTTGCGCATTTATTTTTCTTGTGACAGTGCATAAATCTTTCAAAAAATTTGCATATTCAGGCACTTGTTGTGTAGCATCAAGCAATGAAATGTTGATCTTTACTTGGTTAAACACATCAAAAATTTTAGCAGTGTTAGTCATCTTAGCAGGTACTTTTAATCTCTAGGGGTAAGGTGCAGGAATAGAACACTTCATTTCATCTAGATTGACAATGTCGGGCTGATCAAGTTTCTCACCCTCCTTCGATTCTTCCTCAGTCTCTTTTTTTGTAAGTTTAGAGACTTTCGGTAA